AAACCTTTATTGTTTTTTAATAATCGTGTATGTATTAAATTATATTGTATAAAATTTAGGTTTACCACTTAAGAGTCATTAGGATCTATCTTCCACTCATTTCCCCTTTGCAACATGTTTTTGAATTATTCGAAGTGGAGTGGTTCAGTGGTGCCAGAAATATATTTTGGAACTGACAATGTTAGCCACTCGCAAACATTAAAAACCTCATCACTGGCATTTCCCGGTCTGTTTCGGTAACTCTGGTAGAATGCATGTTTCATTATTTTTTCTTTTTTTCTTTTAAAATACTTTTCCATTTATCAAGTATATCATTTGTTTTTTAAAAAAGCTTTATTGGTTTTTATCAATTTAAAAACTTTTTAATCTTGTATATCACTAAAATCAGCTGTCACATATTTTGGTTTGCCTTTAGGAATTTCCATTTAAAAGCCAGTAGGAATTGATTTCCATAAGTTTGACAGTAGGTTCTATCTTCAACTCATTGTCCCCTTTGTAAAATGGTACTACTTTATTTTTTAATTCTTCGAATCTGAAATGGAGTGGTTCATTGGTACCAGCAATATATTTTAGAACTGACAATGTTAGCCACTCACATTAAAAACTGACTTTACAAAATCATGGGGACTTAATAGTTACAAAATAACAAATAATAATTAATAACAAATTCTTCCAGAGTTTCTGTGTCGGTCTGGTTTTATTCACGAGATAATAAATCTGGCATCTATATCCTCACGGGTGTGACAACTGGGGACCTGGAAAATAATATGAACAGAAACAAGAGCTGTCAGAAAGAACGACACCAAACTTTTATCAGTGCCCCTATAATAAGCCTGGGTAAATTGATGGTTTCAATTAAGGATTATGACAAAGTCAAGAGTCCTGGATATTGATGTGGAACTTTGCGATATCAAAATTAATGGTTGTTTTAAATTTATACCTCCAATACTCTTGAAGATATATAAAAGAACATATACATGTACCATATTTCACTTTATGTAAATGTATTGACAAGTAAAATTACGTTTAAACAAAACTCTTGTTATTATGTAGTGGTGTACCTCGCGAAATTTTATCATTATCTTATTCTTTTACGAGAAAAAGCAGGACAGTTTCCCCTTAACTGATCTTCCTAAAAACTTGAATAAGGTTCAACAAATGTTCTTGCCTCTCAATAAAATTGAAAAAACTATCTTGGCTCCAGAAAACCTTTCAACTTACATTGGTCTATCTTAATGATCATGTCTGGCATTTTGAAGTCTTGAACTCATAAGGACGTCTGCAAACACATTTTAATACTAAATAACAAAATTCATTTGCTAAAATACTAATGAATTACATACAAAGCTCCAAACACAGGTAGAAATCATGACTTCACTCTATCTTAAAAAGGCACATTTTTATTTTACATAGCTCCTTTTCTTAATATATATTTTTGTAATAATGGTATTAGGCAACAGTTCTTCATTGGAATGTTGCATCTTGTCACCATTATATTTTGAATAACAATCAAAGAACTTAATTGCATTAAGTGTTTCTTTTATAATAGTTATTTGATTTTTTCTAACTTCCGGTAAAGGCATTTTGGTTATTTGCGCCTTGCTTAAAGTATTTTGATTTATTCTCAATAACTGAAGAAATGTCCTTGTACATACACTTTTAATACATGACAAACAATATTTTAAGTTCATAAACTGCCTTAATCAAAATTCGTGCATGATACAGGGCTTTGAAGTCTCAAAGCAATATATATGCAAAATAACATGCAAATACATTACATCAATAGTGGGGGATGATAATTATATGATCTGTACAAAAATATTACTGAAATATTATGCTGGCATTTGGGTGCATATGAAGTCAAAATAGTCAAGCTTAAAATGCCATATTTTACTACGTTTGATAGTAAGCTTATTTTTATTTCTATACAGGCTTAAGACAACATTATTCGTTAAGCTGAATAAATTAAATTTTGTTTGTCGTATCATTTAATTTGCTTGTAAATTTGCCATGTTGACGTTGTCTTACACACTTTAGGCAAACAAATGATGACACAATGGATGTCTTGTTGCAATCCCTCGTTGGCGCCTTATCATTAACATGAGTCACCAGTTTGAGTGTTTGAATTATTTGGTTTTACGGCGCGCCAACACAAATTGAGCCATATGGCGCCAAAACAGGAAAGATTATTATGCTTACCTTGGGTGGTACAAACTTAAAATAAGACAGGGATCAAAATTACATCGCAAGATAAGAGAGGCATAAAATTGATTTTATTAGTTTGAATCCATTTAGTCTCCTCTAACGATCACGCAGGATAAGTGACTTATTCAGGCGTAAGAAGACATGTTAACACATTGAGTGCAGTCTAAACAAATAATATTTACACATAATTTGTAATTTCAAAGATTGTTTTCTGCTCTTTTTACAAAAGAAAATATAGTTTTGCAGTTAAAGACACGACTCGGAATCCTCGATGCGTTTATGTTATTGTCCACCTTTTCGAAGAACAAGAAAGATATAGAAATAAGCTCCGTCCGTCTGTTTGTCCGTCCATATTTCGTGTCCGGTCCATAACTTTGCCATTTATCAAAGGAATTAAAAATAACTGGCACAGTTGTTTGTTATAATAAGACGATATGTCATGTCAAAATATACAAGGTCAACATTGTCTATTTGAGGGTATATGTTGTATCCAGTCAATAACTTTTTTATATTTGAAGGGATTTTGTAAATACTTGCCAAAATTGTTATCAATAATGAGACAAGTTGCCAAGTGGAACAACCGGTCATCTATCTCCGAGGTCAAGGTCACACTTGGAGGTCAAAGATTAACATAGTCTGTTATTGGGTATATTTTGTGTCCAGTCCATAACTATTTCAAAATCCCTCATAGATCAAGGGATTTTGAAATTATTCGGCACAATTGTTCACAATAATTAGGCAATCTGTTATGTTTAAAAATCAGTCGCCTACCTCAAAGGTCAGCGTCACAGTTGGAGGTCAAATATTAACATAGACTGTTGTAAGGTATATTGTGTATCCAGTGTATAACGTGCTTACCATCAATTATTTTGAAAATTCTTAGCATAAACGTTTACAATTATAAGATGATGTGTCATGCACAACACCCGTACCCTTATCTCCAAGGACAAGGCCACACTTAAACATCAAAGCTTAACATGGTCTTTAATAGGGTATATTTTGTGTGCAGTCCATATTTTGTTATTGTTCAAGGGATTTTGAAATTACTTGGCACAAGTGTTTTCAATAAGACTCCTCCCTCTATTTCTATGTCACACTTGAGTGCCAAAGCTTGACGTGGTCTGTTTGAGGATATATTTTGTTTGCGGTACAACAATAATAACTTGGCAAACATGTTAACAATAATAAGACGACTTGTCATGCGCAACACCTAGAACCCTACCCCCGAGGTCAAAGTCTAAAATAGTATGTTACAGGGTATGATGCCAAGTCAGGAACATGCAAATAAAATGTCATTGGTGAATTTCCCACATACCTTGTTTAATAACTGGACAGGAAATATACCCTGTAACAGACCATATCCTCTTTTGATTTTGTATTTGTCAAATACACATGCATTTCTGTTAACACAAACACAGGACTTATATCAGATATTTCATTTTAGATCCTTGAATACAAGTTTATCTCTTTCAAATACGGTAAGCAATGCTTTTGATCGAATTGTATTAAAGAGTTTATATTTCTTTAAAAGATTAATTGTGTCTGACATGTGCAGATCTAGCATTAATCAAAATTTTGCTCTAAAGGTCCAGATTCATACCTCATTGTTTTAGAAGAGCAAAAGTTTGTGCTTCATGTAAAACTTCCTTTAGGCGGGAGACATTGGTAACTCTGTTACAAATTCTTGTTAGATTAGCTTTCAAGAAAATCTTTTTAATTAATGTTTGATTTTGCTTTGAGAACATGGCGAATTGACTTTGTTGATGATTTTGAAGTTTCTCTTTGAGCTCTTTTGCAGCTGCATGTCCACGCACTTTTAAAATCAATTGAACACAAAGCTCAATAAAGAAAGGGGCCTAAATTGCTTGGAACAGTTGTTCACTACAATATTTAACCATATGATCTTCAAACATTTATATGTTTGATGTTACATATTATCCTGACAATGAGTTTACAAGAGCGTATGAAAAGGAAAAAGTTATTACTGGATACCTTAAGCCCACCTAAATAGACTTGCTGTCTATTCAGATAATTTGTTTCACAAATCTTTTTCATATTTTTTTCAAACCTTGAAATCATTTCACCCACGCTGTTTGTTTGTTTATGAAACCAAACGGGCATATTCTCATAGGTAAACAATTAACTGTTCTTTAATTCTATAAAATTGAAGAGTGCTTTTTCATTTTTGTTTTATTCTATAAAATCCAAAGTTCATACTTTACATGTTTTTGAAATATTTCTCTGTCTTCAAACATTTTGCAAATTTTGGTTATTTATGTTTAATATAGGGGTCATTTTTTGTTTGTACATTTCTTAACCACAATTATTATACGAATTCCATGTTATGTTTCTGTATCATTTACTTTTTACACTGCGGCTTGATTTAGTGGCTCGTAACTATATAGAATATTACGTCAAATCACCTACATTTTGAATTCTAATTGCAAAACGACCCTTCTTTGCAACTTAAGATTAACAAAAACAGGATGCTTGTTAAAGTGCATCGTTATTCATTTTATTTTCGTCGTATAATCAGACCAAATAGACTTCTCTTGATTAATTTAATACTTATGAGTTTCTGCAGAGTTTGCAACATTATCCTGATTAATAATGTTACTATATCACCATTCAAATCAAATCACCATGAAATACGTTTAAAACAGTGTTATAATTGTAAAGACTAATCTTTTGATAGCACAAGTCTTGTGGCAAAAATAATAAAATAAATACATGTTACAGGGGGGGGGGGGGTTTCTTGTGTGAGATGGATACGGGCAGATAAACAACTAAAAAGGTTTCAGCTTCATCTTGGTTTATACAGTTTTTCTTTTATACATAGAATTCGACGTATGATATAGTTCTCTCAATTCTTCATAACCAAGCTAATACTTGTCAATAAAAAACGTCCTGAAACCAAGAAGAATTTATTAATAAAAAGCATCAACTCATTACGAAAATAATTATTAATACAGCATTACAACATTTCTCATTTTCAACATTTCACACAATGGTTCAAACAATATTAATGGTTCAAACAATATCAATGGTTCGAACAATATCAATAGATAGCTGAAACAGCATCTTATCAACTTATTAATTCTAAACAAGTATTTAACAAAGTTTAGTTTAATAAATAATAATAATTCAAGTCAACACTTACAAAGGATAAGCTCCTAACGACATATGACATTATAATCTTGGCAAGTGCGTCTCTCTCTCATTCCTATATGGTGAAAAATAAAAGTGTTCAGACAGAGTATAAAGTAGTTATTTTAACAGCCCGAATATCGTTGTAAATAATCTCAATACAATTGAAATAATAACATATAACGCGAGACTAAATACTCAATGATAGAAATAAACCAAAATCAAACTAAATACATTTCACTATTTAGAAGGATGGCTAGATATAAATACAAAATTCCTATCTATCATAGATCTATCTGACAGCCTAACCGGAAAGAGAATGAAGCGCTAAGTAAGATCAGCAGTTTATATATATTTTTTGTGATATGGTAGAACACCACCAAATAATCGAAATACACCACTAAATTTCCGCACCGCTACATACATAATAAAATAAAACATTATTTGTTATTGTCATTGAGTACATGAACATTCAAATTTTCAAAATACGTGTCCGTTTCGTCTATGTCCATTAGTCGGTATGTTTAAATTCCTCTTTCAATGCAAACAAGATCCTCCAGAACATTTTATAATTGAATAGGGCTGAATTGACGAAATTGCAATGATCTCTTGCTAAAAGCATTTTAAAAATATGACACGTACCGCTTTTCGCACTAAAACGCCAGCTTCTCCGAACTGAAAAACAAAGTTGTCAACATGCACAGTTTGTATAACCTGCATATATGCCGGCAAAGAGAAATCAATAATTGTTGTACCGTACCGACGAATTCTTGCTGTTGTAGCAACGTCATTACCTTTGTAAGTTCAACTTGAATCTGTGAAAATTGTGAATAGCGGATGTTGAAAAAACAAACCAAAAAACCGCATCTTTATTCACTGTAATTACCAGAATAATATACTTACATTCAAATTATTTAATATCATTCTTAAAACATTATATTTTGGTAAGAAACAAAAAGTAACGTTCCGCTAACAATTCACATAACCAAAATGACTCATATACGATGCATTTTGCCTGATTCATAGTATTTCCCCTTTAGATGAAAAAAACCGCATGATTTCATTTAAGCCTAGTTCTACGATATTTAATCTCGATAAACTATCCTCATTACATGAAATCAGACAGTTGTAGGCCCATTATTTGTATACGGATATCCGAATACATTGTACTTCCATTTGAAGAAAATCAAATAAAAATGTTGTGCAACCTAGCAAGAAATTCATAATGGGTTCCGCAGTGTAAAGCTGATGCATGTAAATGCTTCTATGTAGTTGTATTTATATTGACACCTTGCAAAATAAATCTGGTCATTCCGCAGTTAAGAATGCGTCTTTATCAGAGTTGTATAAAACCCGAGCGCTTTACAGCCGGATAAAAGGGAAATTAAGGTTTATAGATTTAATTATATCAATTTTAAGCTTGTGATGTAAACGAACTGAAAGAGAATTAAAGTCTGACATGTCATAGTCGTTATCATCGCGTCGTTGTCATCATGGCGATCATCGTTATCATCAGTATCATAAAGATTATGGAATGCTGGAGGTCGTGACTTTGATGTCTGAAGTGAAATAATGTTGATTTATTTGTTAAAAATGTAGGCGTTTTTGTGGAACAAGAAGGATATCGTTCTAAGAATTAATATTTTCCATGAACATAACGAAGCGTTACATTTTTCATTGTTTTTTTACCTGCATACTTTATCAGAAGAATATTATATATCATACAATGCTCTTGCACTTTCACACATTTTTTTTTAAATTGTGTTTTATCTCTTGTTCAGTCTTTCTTTAATTAAAATATTATAAATATTTTAACAACTTAGATAAAAAATATTCGGAGCATTGTTAAGCTTATTGCTTTAAAAATCTTGCCATAATATAGAAGTTAGCATAGTTTTTAAAACAGGTTCCGGTTCGGTACGGTCCATTCTGTTCAAATTTGCTCGCAGGGTCCTTATCTTGTCAAACAATGTCTCACAGTCCAGAGCTGTTGCTTCGATGATGACTTGTCAAGGAATCCGTCCAGAACAGCCTGGTTCGCGAATCCTGTTACATACCCCCTCGCCAATAAGGTATTTGCACCTCTGCGCAATACCAATCGTATAACTCCACCTATTTCATTTGCATTCCCGCACTCCAGCAGCCTTTCGTTCTCGTCACAAACAAATTTGACATACCTGTCTCCATTAACATCATTAATCGTTACAAGAAGCGAGATTAAGATGATAAACCGAACCATTATTAATGAAATTAAATGTTCACACTTTGAAAATGAGCAGCGAACAAACATAATAGCAGACTATTATAAATGTCGCATGACACCAAAAAAAGCGGCCTTTGATCCTTAGTGAGGAGGCTGTTGACTCGTGGCTTATCTTCGGTGAGAGCAGCATTGTCACGTGACTGTATTTTGAATAATAATTTTTTGAAAAATCATGGTGATGTAAAAGAATTTCACTTTTGAAATCATGTTAATTCTAAATTGTTTTAATTTAAAATAGGATGGAAAACATAATTCTGTAGTGACAAATATAAACATACAAAATCACGTGACACCGTAAAAATGAAGCGGCCTACTTATTTGATATTCTGCGTTGAAAAACTTAGAGGATAATTTGTTGATTACATATGATTTATTTAAAACTGATTTGAAAAAATAAGAAAAAATTCTATAACAAATTACACTTTATCTGGGAAAAAACGATAAATGGGAGTCTACATTAACAATATTTTAGTATCAAACATGCCGTATTTTATATTTAATGAACAAAAACAACAACAAAACTTTATACCGAACATTCTTGACATATTTTTCCCAACCATGCCGTTTTAACACAAGTATGCATTTTTCATAATTCTGATCTGCATTACTAGATAATATACAACAACTACCGAAATCTTTCAAGATTCTTGTTTTCCAAAACGTAACAGTTTCTATTTTATCATACATAATTTTTGAAGTTTGCGTTAGGTTCATGTTGTCAGCGACATAAAAGGAACTACAAAAATATAACGACAACAACAATTAATAAAATATAAAATAAACAGCTGAAATGAATTAATAGATACAGCTGACAACTATTTTTATAAAGGCCTACATCATATGTTTATCAAACATCTACAGGAAGCATTTCTTTGAAAGTGAGCAATTATCAGAAATGTTCTCTTGCATAAACATGTAGCCTGATCTTTCTTGGCGTTCTAAAATATATAATCTGAAGATGACAACCGATGAAATAAGTAAACATAAATTTGCTTGACATTAAATAAACAGGGGAAATGTAACATAGTAGTAATTATGTGCAATTAAGTCTGTCATTACCTTATACTAACATAATTTATTTTAGTTCGATTGTGTGAGAAGCTATAAGCTTATAGACACACTTTCCAATCCGTTCCTTGAACCAGCCAGACCTGATCAATGAGTGTAATTTTTCTTGCTCAAGGAAACAACGACTTGCTCCTGGCGGAGTTTAAATCCATGCGGCTAGTGATCATTAGATTACTAGTCCGGCGCTTTATCCACTCGGCCATGCCGCCACCAGTACTAATTTGCTTCGACATAATACTGTTTGGTTTCTGCAGGTGATAAAAGTGTTATTTTTGTTGAAACACGGTACATAATATTTAACTGATTTTATGTTGTTTTTTTTCTTCCGTATGACATTTCTGACATTCTTTATCTCTAAGTACTGAGTATGTCTTGGAGGACAAAACTACACTTTCTATTAATACGCTGCTTCCTACTTGTAGTTTCATTATACCCTCACCACAAAATGTGGGGGCTATAATGGATTTGCTTTGTCGCGTCGGTCCGTCCATCTCCATTTTCGTGACCGCTCTATAGATCCTATAACAATTAAAGGATTGTCTTCAAACTTGGCTCAAATATTCACCTCAACAAGGGAATGTGCAGAACCCATGTTGCTTTTGTGTCAGCTCAAGGTCAAGGTCACAATTGAAGGTCAAATATCAAACACAATCAAATATTAGACAGTATGTCGTAACCGCTCTGTAAGTCCTACACTAATTGAAAGATTTTCTTCAAACATGGCTCAAATGTTCACCTCAACAAGGTTATGTGCAAATCTATGTCAACTTTGTGCCATCTAAAGGTCAAGGTCACACTTGAAGGTCAAAAATTGACTTAGAAAATGTTCTTAAATTTTAACATGTACTTGAATATTTATAAAACTAGCACAGGTATTTGCTTGAAACTTAAAAATATATGAAGTGTAACAAATAAGATATGCAGGTCAAGTTTCATAACTCTGTATTGCATTTTGACAAAGTTATGCCCCTTTTTAAGTCTTTAATTTTACATACAATAAATACCAGACAATATGTTGTGTCCGCTCTATAAATTCTATACTAATAGAAGGATTTTCTTCAAACTTTACTCAAATGTTCATCCCAACTGGGCAATGTGCAGAACTCATCTTACCCTTGCGCCAGCTAAAGGTCAAGCCCACACTTGAAGGTCAAAAATTGACTAATAAAATGTTTAGTCAGTGGGAAAATGAAATGTTATTTGTAACTGTTTCGAACATGATTTGTGAATATATATTTATACTATTACCTGTACAATAAGTCTTTTCTTCACCATAGATAATTTACTTTTATGTATTTGTGCCACTAAAGTTATTCCCGTAACAACCTTTCCACGTCGTCTTCTGTCAAGGACATTGGTGGGGGTATGAATCACATTCAGCGACAGTTCTAGTTTTACCTGGTACCTTAAATAATAAAATATAAATATGTCAAAATCACACGGGTGCCCAAACACTCCACTGTTGTGTCAATCTTATGACTTTAGGTCAAATAGTTTAAGGGTACATGTGCCACAACTTGAAAAAAAAATGTTCTTTAAGTCAAGGGCAAGAACTTTACAAATACTGAATAAATCCACAATCAAACCCCAAGGTGCATCAGTTCATGGCTGACCAACATTCTTGTAAACTTTCAGACATGCAGGTCAAATATTTATTGAGTTATGCATGAACAAGTTGAAAATTGCAAATTTATACTAAGTCACGGGCAATTACTCTAACAAAATTGAAAATAAATCCATATGCAAAACCCCAGGTGCATAGCTTTACAGCGATGTTGATCATTATTCCTGTAAAGTTGGTTGATTCTAACTCAAGCAATCGAGGAACAAATAACACAATGTAATGGAACGGTTTTCACTAAGAGCAATTAATCTGACAAAACAGAAGACATCCACAAGTGAAACCCCAGGTGCACAACTTCACATGCTGAGCAACATTCCTGTAAAGTTTAATGACACTAGATCAAATACTTTTTGAGTTACGTGCGACAAAAGTTGAAAATCGTAATTTTTTACGAAGTAAAGGTCAATTACTCTAACAAAACAGAATAACTCAACAAGCGAAACCCCATGTGCACAACTAC